TATTATAAATATATTATAAATTTGATATATTATATATTTTACAATTTTACGCGATATATAAAATATAAAATATTGTAGAATATAAATAATAAAAATAGAATTTTATTTTAATTCTGACAAATTATAGGTGAAAAATAGATTCATTATAGATGGATAATTTATCTGATTACCTCGATCATAATATGAGGTAATATTATTGCAATAAGTTGCTTTACTACAATGATAAGATTATTATTGTTATTATTATTTCAGATGGATTGTATTGCAAAAATTCGAAAATAATCATATATATCTGACATATATAAATATATTAGAAATACATATATATTATCAAGATCTAATTTAAAACTGAAGTTGACGCTTCTCTTACTTAGTTAATTTATTTATATATCGGTCTTGTAATAATTATTGTAATTTAAAATGGATTTTAAATATTAAAATTTCGTCCAAAAATGACAAAAATTCTATATAAATCCCAATAAATTATCTTTCCGTTATTAAAATTAAATGTTATATTTAAGCGTTTAAATACATAGGAAATATCGTTTTATAATAAATATAATTTTAATGGCTAACGCAACATAAAAAAAAAAACTAATATAAAACGTACCGTTATTTAAACGTACATCAATGCCAAAAGCAGTAACGTTGATTAGAGTACTGCTATTGGCCACATATACCTACAGGCAGGTGAAGCCAGGTGAGACCAGTCCGGATCAGACTGGATGGGAGGTGGTAGAGAAGCAACCAGATAGATAGGAAGGTAGGGAGCGAAAGTGAGTGCGTCTCCAAGAATGGACAAGAAGGTGCGGTGACTACTATGAAACAGTGACAGAAAATTTCGCGGTGGGTGAGGATACAGTCCAGAGCATCGGCGGATCGGTTTTCTCTCGATCGCTCATCGATCGTGAGAAGCACGGAAAACGTGTGCGTAACGTGCTGCCGTTGCGAAAAGTACGATGATGATGTGGATTGTGGTATCGTAGCTGGTACCAGTCCACCAGCTCGCAGAAAAAGAGAGATTGCGAAGAACAGAAAGAGAAGGAGAGATGCATGCCATGTTACGAACGTGTTGCTGATGCGATGCAAGCCAGTGATTCTCACCACGCATCACGAGGTAACGCATGGAAGAAGAAGGTTGCTCCTGCGCGTTCCTCGACGTATATTCAGTGAGCGTGAAGCCGCGGTGACGTAAACGTGTCTGCATAAACCTCCTCCGCAAATACATAACGAAAAATATTCCCATTTCGGCGACGAAGATGACGAGGAAACTCAGCAAATTCTTGATACTTTTCGATAACACGAATCTACTGTATTTTCCTGGCCACTTCTTGTCCGGCCGTGTTCTCATAGAGCTGGACGATGAAGCTTAGTAAGTAACGTTTTATAGAAAGAGGATATTGAGTTCATGGTCGAAAATATTATTTCTACGCGTAAAAAAGTCTACGCGATGAAGAGAAAAAAATCTTTTTTATTAAGACCAGATAAAGTGTCAGATTTACATAGATATGTACATGGTAGACCTAGTAAGTAACACAAGTATTAATAATGTGGGGTACATTACCGTAGCGTCTCGGGACTGCATTTCCACGTTGTGGGAGAAGGTGTAGTTCGGGTACGCAGTCAACGTGCCGAGAGAGTTTACGACAAAGAAAACTACATTGATTTTCGCATGCGGTTGTTGGGTGAACCAGGTGAATTTTAATTATTTCAGATTATATTGTATATATACAATTTTGAGGATGTACAATTTAACATTTCAAATGACGTTTCAACAATAAGTGATGCGCTTCAGTAAATTATTTGCATAATACAGCATAATAAGTATTGTGCGATAATAGCGTAACAAAAATTTTCTCTCTAATAATTTACTGCGATGTAATTAAGGAGATAGCTTGACGTCTTTTTAGCTCAATTAAAGATACAAAATAACATTTTTAATAGGCGAAGGACCGTCATTGCTATCTCCCGGAATACACAGTTTTCCCTTCAAATTGGGGCTGCCATTGGGTCTACCTTCCACTTTTCTCGGAAAACATGGATGGGTGCAATATTATTGTAAAGCGGCTCTCCGCGAGCCAGGCGGACTTACTCACAAAAATCAACAAGTCTTCATCGTCATGAATCCGATTGACTTAAATCTGGAACCTCCGATATTAGCGGTGAGAGTTGTATTAGGATAATCAATAAATTAAGATCCAGATCTGATTTATCATCACTGTGTTTTAACTCGTAAATGAGACGCGGGTGCAAATTTGCACTAGAAAAATTTTCAACTTGTAGATATTTGAGGAAATTAATTCTGCTTAACGCACAGTTTTGAATAAATAACGTTTTTTTTTTCAAAATTCAATATTACCAATCGATTAGTTAAAAAATTTTACATCGAAAAACATAAGTTTTAATTCCACTTTTAACTTTCAGAAGATATAAAACGTTAATGCCTGTTGTGAATTCGCATCTAGGTGTTTTTTTTTTTTTTTTTTTTACGAGTGTTCAAAAGAGACGTATCTTTTACGGGTTAAATTCGTTGATTTATTGAGCTAGTCATATTTGTTTTACTAAAAAATTATTACGGATAAACATCAGTTTCCTGAGTGAACACCTTCACATAACCGATTCAGACCAAGGAAAGTGTTTCGCGCGTGCAATTAAATGAATACTCAAGCGTTCATTATCATAACCAAGACCCAGATACTGGTCACCGACCTGTATGGAAAGCGTTGCAAATATCTTCATGCAAGACAAAGAATTTCAAGAAATTATATATTCGACACGTTCGTATACAAATAAATTTAAGATCAAATAAAAAGACGCGAAACATTCCGTTTGCGTGGTGATTCGCGTATTTGCATTGTTTTGCGCCAGTTGCAACATAACGATAATCGCTAGATCGTGATGGAATCACCGCCCATATATTGCGGCAGCAATACATTTGCATCTCTAGAAAAAAACGCATGAAAAAATTTTCGCGTTGGCGAACAGCATTCAGCGACGAGCATTGTTCAATTGTAGATAGATAGATGTATCGGCGAATGTTAACGATCAGAATAAACGCACTTTCCTTTTTAAGATGTCGGTCAATTTAGATTTAGCAAACTTAACTTAAATTCCGGAAAATTGTTATGTATAATAAATAAAATGTCTTCGTGATCGAACAGCAACCTGCGAGGCAGGAGATTGAACAGCGCGTGGGTGTCTCTTGCGTATCGGGTGGTCCTGTATTTTGCAGAGTTAGTCTGGACCGGGGTGGATACGTACCCGGGGAAACGATCGGTATTTCTGCGACTGTCAGCAATCGCAGTAAGGTAACATTTTAATCGGCACACAATAGATACAATTTCGACGCTTTTAACAAATAGAATCTCGGAGGTATATTCAAAGCACGAAAAATTGAGAATTCGAATTAACAGGTGACGATGAAGTCAACCAAGGCGTCACTCACCGAAACGATACAGTATCTGTGTCGAGGTAAAGTGCTCGCTAGCGAGACTCGCGAGCTGGCTAGCGTTTCTAGGGGAAAGATTCGGCCGGGTGAGAGCGAGGAGTGGCTAAACGAACAAATGTACGTTCCTCCGTTGCCGCCAACGAATCTGCGAGGGTGCCACTTGATTAACGTTCTTTATCACGTTTACGTGAGTGTCAAGAGAGAGAAATGTAATTGCGCGAGAACTCGAATTTTCGCGAGGAATCCTCTTGAAATTTACCTGTGCTTAACGTTTATCTCTGCAGTTCGTCATAAGCCCGAAGAGTCTGGACAAAGAAATGAAATTACAAATACCGATCGTGCTGGCCACGTACCCTTTGAGGCCGGAGGGTGCACCAGTTGGTACGGCGCCATCCAAACGGGGCGCTCATTATCCATCGACGTTACCCATCTTCCGACCTTGGCTCGACGACAAGGCCTTCGAAATACAAGAGTGAAAGCGTAATATTACGTATCTATTATTGGATTATTTCAAAATTAGTCTCTAAAGAGGTAAACTAATTTTCTGTGATCGTAGGTCGCAGTTGCGCCTCCATGCGCTTATGCATCTATACTCCTTTAAAAATCTTCATCGATTCTTGTATTGCTAGTCACAGCAACGCTCATGTAAAATTTCAAAGAATCGATGGCGATATTTGGAAATGCCGTATCCGGTGCAATTATACGTACGCGGAATGTTCTTTTAAAATTTCCCCTGAAAATATGGTAGTTGTGGTACAATACAATATTTTAAAGATTTTTACCATGCACTTCAGTAAAATTGATCAAATTTATTTTACACTTTATTGCAGTTTTATTCAAGAATGAGAGAGATTTACATTAAAATTCTTCGAAATACAATGTTGTCCAACGACTGTCATATTTTTAGGGTAAATTCTAAGAAAACATTCTCTCCGTGTATAGCTGTCAAAAAATTTAATGTACATTGAATATTACGAATATTAACAATATTTTAACCCGGTTAATTGCGTTTACGGAAAAACAGATGTATAAATTGTATAATATTGTATAATGTAAAATAATTGAATAACTTTTAACCCTTTCGATACTAACGACGACTATAGCCGTCCAACAGTAAACGCTGGCTATGTTAACGACGACTATAGTCGTTCAGCGTTAAGCGCTCGCCGCGCACTAATAACGACTATAATTTAACAATTCCTTTCCATCAATATTTTACGTTACACGGTAAAATTTAATTGCTTCTCTTCTCCGGCGAAGTGACATTTATGTCATAGTTGTCTCATACAATGATCGACTGTTCGCAGCAGAGGTTTAGTGGCGAAAAATAAAATCGTATCGAAAAGGTTAAACAAAAATATGCGGAAAGTAAGTATAAAGATAGGACAAATTAAAATATATTTATAAGGAAAAAATCTATATGTATGTATAAATTGGGAAAAATCGTTTAATGACAGAAAAATTTCGAAGTACATTTAATTATCCATCTCTCCTTTCAATTTCGTCAAAACTTGATCTGTCGTAATTCCTGACACTATAACTACTTTTTGCCGACTTCGAGATCCCTGCAAAAAGGAAAAGTTTAAAATATGAACGAACTAATAAAAACTGCTTCGAGTTAATCCAAGCACTAACCCGATCCAAGGACACATCAGATTTTCTTACTCCAAAAATCGAAGCGAGATACTTAACGAGTTCGGCATTGGCTTCACCTTCCGTTGGTGGGGCGGAGATTGCAATGCCTACTGCTTCGTCAGAAATATCTATGGATATTCATTTCTTTAGCAATAATTATGCGATTCCGTTAATGAAATTCTTTCCTTTTCTTTGCAAAGAATACATAACGTTAAAACAGGCGCTTTCTTTTATAACAAAAAAAGCTATATCAAATGATATTTTGCATTACCGGTTACATTGTTACATTTCGCTCCGGGTTTAGCCTGAATTTTAATTACAACGTTTCCGTTTTTATTTAAGACCACAGGTCCCGTAGATGGATCCTGCAAACAATATGTTAATGGAAACAATTTCTCGACACACTCGACATGTAAAAGCGCGGGCAAGCAGTCAACGTTGCATTGTATTTATTATTATTCTCAGAAAAACGAGAGATTGAATGATAGGCTAATATTACATTTGTCCGTTGTTGCCGTACGATAAATTTTTAAAGTCTGTTGGTTTGGCTATAGGATAGAAATTTGAGAATCTCTCTGTTTTGCAGCCAATTAACACGCTTGAAAAATTTGTCATACGACAAAGAACTGTAAATATTAATATTAGTGTATTCGTTCACTTCTTGCACAGTTTAGCGCTTCTTTTGCAGCTACAAAAACAAATTATCGACTCGAAAACTCTGTCACACAACCCGAATATTTATTTTATCCTTGTTATTCATCGAATATTGAATAAGACACTCGAAGTTGGTAGAGTAAGTTTTGGAACGCATCCCAGGTAGAATACAGAGTAATTAAGTTATAACGATATCATAGAACGTCATCATGTATCATTTATCGCACTTAAAAATGAACTTATGCGTGACAATTAAATACTAGACCATGATGATGTCTTTATGATATATTATTGACTTTTGCGTTCTACTTAGGTATATATAATGAGTCTTCATTAGCATATGTAAACTTTCAGCAAGTTAATGAATCAAACATATTTGCCTTATTGAAAAGTTGTTTCCCCAGTAAACGAGAATGGATTGAAATGAATTAAAATTTTATCTATCCGCGAATATTTTAAGAAAAAAAATTTTTTTTTTTATTAAATTGGATTAAAAAACTGTATTTTCTATTCAAAATTTTGAATTGAGAAGTATATTAATTCACAAGGCAGAGAAAAAAAAGCTGATATAATTTTTAAATTGAAAGAAATGTACTTCAAAAGGATTCATTTTAACATTCATGAATCCATATTTCTGAAAATCTGAATCCATTTTAATCCATTTTAATCCATTCTCGTTTGCTGGATATTTTCTATGACATATTTTTCATAACATACGCTGTAGGCATAAAACGAGGTTTAAAGTAATAAATTTAAAAGTGAGCCTCATTTAGTGCGCTTCGTGCGCCACATGGTAAGTGACGGGATGTCACAGTTCCACCCACGTGTAATATTCTGTAGGTACAATTTTGCAATCGCGACAACCAGTCGTGACTATCGTAAGGTCGTAAGGTTGGTAGACGTGGTTAGTCACTTTTATCGACACGGATGACGGAGAACGGAGTGGCTACTTGGCCAGACATGATAAAGTGCACGTAACAGAAAATGTCACGTTACTTTCGTGACAGGTGATCGACTATCGTGTGGGCGAGAAATCGGTAAGTGCAAGATCAAGATGATCACTCACATCAGTGCCTGTCACCTTTGGCGTCTTCGCATTTCTCGTGGACCGCTGTTTCGACATTTCACGCGTGACGATTAAATACTTGCAGCCGCTCTTTAACCGCGTAACCATGTGCTTTTCGTGAAATCGTTTATCGTCCGCTCACACGAAGATTGAAAATATACACGCGATTCTTCCTGTGTTATTAATGCCTTGGAATGTCGATTATTTTGAAGTCTCCTAACCTGAATCTTAATAATTTTCACAATGATTCCACGCATGTCGGGCTATTGCCAACTTAAATATAGTAACGTAAACGCATGCTCACTAATTTTCAATGCAGAGAGGCACGATAATAAAAATTAAATGAAAAAAACCCGCGAATAACAATCGAGATTTATTACATCGCAGATCAAACATGCCGAAGAAATTTGTGGGTGAGAATAGCAAGGCAGTTGCTGCCCGGGCTAGAAAAGCGGCGGCCAAAGAGGCCGAAACTATTAAAAAAGCGCAAGAAGCTGAAGATAAAGCATGGGAGGACAATGATAAGCAAGTGTTGAAGAAGAAACAAAAACAAGTACGTGTCTTAGAATTATTATCAATAGAACAAGTGTTAAAAATGTTCGATAGATATATATAGCATATATATTAACACTTTAAATAAATATGTATATATGTAGGTTTTGTTCATAATAATAAATTCTGTTTTGATTCTTAATATAATAAATACTTTATTGATTTCTTAATATAAAATACTTTATGTATATTCAAGATTATTTGTACAAAGTTACATTGCAGATGCAGAAATTAGTTGTCCAGTAAATAAACAAAATATTTATTTATTCTAAATCTTTGTGATTAGTGAATCATAATGAAACTGTATAAGTTATTTTGAATAATTAAATACAAAAACGTTTAGATTTTTGTCATTATTTTTCAAATTTTATGTTTATAACAATAAAAATAATATAATACATATTTCTATTAACAACATATATTTCCATTAGAGCATAGATTAAAAAAATACTACTTTATATTGAAATAACTTATGATAATTTATGATTTAAATGATAAACCGTCACTAAAACAAATTTATTGTATTAATTTTAAATGCAATTTAGAATAATTTGTAATTTTTTAATATTTTTTTTATTATTTTGAGATATCGATTGAACATTCTTAAAAAGACAACCGCGTCAATATTTGAAATGAGTAATACACATTTTATTATATTTAGGAAGATATCGAGAAAAAACGTCAACAACAATTAGAAAAAAAAGCGGAAGCAAAAGCCCTGCTGGAAAAAGAAATGGCAAATATAAAAGTTGGTGGTAAGCAGCCTGCTTCGAAAATTACCAGAGCCGAAATCGTTACTATCACTGAGAAACGAAATCAAGTGGCTATGAACAAAAAGGAAGAGGAGAAACCGATCGAGGAAAATTTGAATAGATTGATTTTGGAAGGTGAAACGGCTCATGGTATAGACGAGGCTATATCTGTTTTAAGGTAATTAAATTACGTTCAAAACATTAGAATATAATCTATATAAAATTTATACGTTGATTATAAGTACAAAGCACTCTCAATTTAATGCATTTTTTTGAAAAAATAATAGACGATAATAGAATCCAAAGGAAGAGCTAACAAAATATTAAAATTTTTATAAGAATAAATATTTTTTTTAACTATTGTTTTTTTAATTACTATTTTAAAACATAAATATTGTTTTTTTTTTAATTACTATTTTTTTAAATTATTTTGATTTATTTTTCGTTATATAGAATATTTACATCAATTTACGAGAGTGCTTTATATTTATGACTAGATATAATTATACTGTATAATTACAATAATAATTAAAGCTTTGGAAAATCTTGATATTTTATATATTTCCAAAAATATAACAGTTAAATTTAATTCTTCTCATCTTGTTTCATTATGTCATTTTCTTTTTAGCTCAAAAGATCCTGAAATAGATCGACATCCAGAGAAACGAATGAAAGCCGCGTACGCGAGTTTTGAGGAACGAATGATGCCGATAATTAAAGAACAAAATCCTACTTTGAGATTGAGTCAGTTGAAACAGATACTTAGGAAAGAATGGATGAAGTCGGCTGAGAATCCACTTAATCAAACATTAAATCGCTGACGATCATGGTGATATCAAACGAGCGTGACACATATTTGCGCATCGTCGACTGATTATTTAATTTTATTAAAATAAATAACTATTGTGATGTAATCATCTGTATACAATTTTTATTTGTATAACATATAACTTATAAAAGTATTGTATGAAAAATAACGATATATAAATCATCTTTGGTAAATCTATACGTTATTCCATAGCCTCTGTTTAATATTTGCTAGATCACTTTGAATAACTGTTTTCTGGCATATAAGAGAGTAAAATAACTTTTTAATAAAACTTACTTATTTATTTTAAATGGGAAGGCATGATATACAATTTATTTATTAAGAATTCTTAGGTTAGGTATAGATTTAAGTTTAGTTTAAAATGGAACATCTTATACTTGATATATTGAAGTCACGGTGTTCTGATTCACACTTACAATGTTTAAGAATCATTTCATTCTTATTATTTATCAAATGTTAAACAAGGACAAATGATGCTCATGTACATTGTAAGCGTGACCTCGAGTATTAAAAATTTCGAAATATTAAGTTATTTTAAGTGATCTAAACAAATGAGACGTTTGCATTCATTTTATCTATACATTTTCTTCTGTATACATCTGTACAAAACTTGGCACATTTTTACGAGGCCACACGAACTTCATTGATTTATCCTATCGTTTAATTCATTCGAATTAAGTCTTCTTGACTTGTATCTTACTTTTTTCAGTTAAATATTATATTTGATTGAGATAATTAAATTAATTGATTGAAATAGTTTTTGTTAATTGCTTGAGTCAATGCAATTTTGGTATAATATAGCATTTTAGACATTTTTTTTTAGAATCAGGATATCGCTACTGCCATTTTTTGTTCTTCCACAAATCTATAAAGCAATGTATCATATGATTCAGTTGTTGAGGGCATTCTGTCATTGGATTATGACCAGCCATTGGAATAGCTTCGAGGAAAGCCTTCACCATTGTCTAAAAAATTTTAAATAAAGATCAAATTCAGATCGAGATATTATTTCTTAAAAAAGTTATCTAGTTTTATAT